TTGGGTATGATATGGATTTGCGCTTCTAGACAGTAAAGGGAATCTCTTACAAGAATTTTGAGACATCAGCTTCGGAAATCAGAACACTTTAAATTCTGAGTCAGCAAATGAACCATCTGCAGGTGTTTCCCAAAGCCTTCCTGGGGTGGAGGCTCTGTGTCTCAAATGCTTCCCAGCACAGAAATAAAACTTTATTTAGGCAGACTAGTGGATGTTGAAATATTTATATTATCATTTGTTGGCTTTTCTAAAACCAGCATTAATATAAACATTTTTAGATCTCATCTGATGTGGTTTCACTGGATTCTCACAGTAACAGGGACTAGGACTGATGCGATTTCACAAGCACGGAAAGGGAGGCCCAGGAAGGCAAGTAAGTGGCGGACATAAATCAAAAGGCAAAACCTTTTTCCGTCTTCGGATCCTCAGTTCTTTCCACTATCCCATGCTGGAGTTTCAGTTTTCAGATGTTCTAAGAACTGCCTGCACCAAACAAATGAGAGGGGTTACATGGGGGTTGCATAAAAACCCCTAGGACCTGTTTACATTTCAAATTCTAATCAGTAATTTAGGTTTCAGGGATGATGGAAACAATCTTTCTGATCAGCAGCTCATTTTCTTTCCAAGGCAGACAACTCCGCCCCTCTGCCTATCACTGCCCTTTCCCACTTGTCCTATAGCATTTCGTATCTGAACATGGAGTACTACTCGCCGTGCTTGTGCTGAAACAAAAATCCAATGATCTTGTCTCTAAATGCGGTTTCCGGGGGGTTTCTCTAATAACTGTTAAGTATGTTAAAGGCTTTCGGCCTTTTGAAGACCTTGCATAAATCCACGGAAATGACTGGTAGAAAAACTACTTTACTATATTTAAATGTACATATATTTTAAGTGGATAGTCTTATTGTCCATCTTCCCCCGCTGATTGTAAGCCCCCTGACGACAAGGACTTTGCTTGTGGCTGTTGTTTTTTAAGATTTTATTTTTTAAAGTAATCTCTACACCCAATGTGGGGCCTGAGATCAAGAGTTGCATGCTCCACCAACTGAGCCAGCCGGGTGCCCTGTGTTGTTGTTGTTGTCTCACTGCTATATGGCCAGCCCCTAACCCAATGCCTGATACACAGTGGGGGCTCAATAAATATTTGTTTAAAGAATGAATGCATAACTACATTTACATTCCCAGGGACTAAACAAGTTCACATATCAGAAAGACCCGGTGACCTAATATTCTCTTTGGTCAGTCAAACAACCTGCATTGTAGAACAACTGTTCTTGCTCCCTGAGAGGTGCTCCTCTCTGGTACCTTGGAGGACATCTGATGCTATTAGGGCCCTTCAAAACACTTAGAGATTCCAGAGCAGAAACTAAAGACCTGCTGTGTTGCCCCAGTCTTCTAGGGACCATGATCTTGACTAATTTCAAAGGTAAAAAGGCTTGATGGGACTGTGATGGAGTTAAGAAACAACACCGAACTTGGGTCTTGAATCTAGATCAGTGATTTACTGACTATATACATAACCGGGTAAATGAGCCTCAGAAGCCACAGCAGCTGACTTCTTTTAATAACTTATCGTGTGACAGGCACTGTATTAAATGCTTCCCATGCGTTACTACATTTCATCTTCATGGCAGCACTTTGAAGTAGATATCAACATCTCCATTCTAGAGATAAGGAAACCGAAGTTGGGGAGGGTTTGTTTGTTTTTAATTTTTTAGAGTTGACTATAGTTGACACACAATGCTAACTTTTTTTTAACCCAGTAAGTAGCTTCATACTCCATTTGACCTCCGGGCCCCCAGCACCTAGCCACTCCTCCACGTTAGAAATCCTAAATCATAAAACTGAGGTAACGCCCACCTCCTCGTGGGAACTCCGGGCAAGAGAAGGCCCTTCCAGTCTGCCTGAAGTCTCTACATGAACTTCTGGCATGAGAAGTCTCAAGGAAAAAGCCCTGGGATGGGTGCAAGTGCGACCCTGGCCCAGGGCGCCTCCAGTCACTCTCAGTTATGCCCGCTCTAGGGGAGTTAGCACTCGTGGCTCCAGAAAGCGGAGCCTGGCTGGGAAATTTCCCACCGGTCCCAGAGGCTGGCAGAGGCAGGATCTGTTTTTCTGCTTTCCGAGAATTTTAAAGAAAGCAAACCCCAGGCCAGTAGCGGCGGAGCCCACCGCAGCCCCGGGGGCGGGGCGGCTGAGGCCGCCTCTTCCCCGGCCTCACCCCCGCGCGGCTCCGCGCCCGCCCGCTCCGGCCACTTGAGACAGGCCAGGCCGAGACGCCGCCGGGAAGCCGAGCCGGCTAGGTCGCCCCTCTGCACCCGCCCAATCCTAGCCCCAAGCCCCCAAGTCGGTCCTCACGGAGGTGGCCGAGCCGCGGCGCCGCTCCTCGCCTAGGTCCAGCACGTCCTCCATCTCCGCGGCCGCCTGATGTCATTTCCTGGAAACCAAGCGGCCCAGCCGCGTCCCTGACGACGGCTCCGCCCTTTCATCTCAATATTTAAAGGATCCGCCGCATTATTCCGGGATTCTGTGTGCCACCTTTGAATTTAAACCAAAACTTTCCTAAACTGCCTTGCCTGACTTCTGGAAGAAACCCCCAGCTATCAAATCCCGCTAAGGCCGCTCCTATGGGACAGTGAAAAGAATGTTAGTCTTTAAGAACTCTCTAGATGTGTAGCTCTGTTTAAATATATGTTATTAAGTACAAAGCACTACTACTAATAGTAGTGATTAAATTGATCCTTCTTATTCATATAGCCCTTTACAATGAATAAAGGACTTTCACAGTTATTATCTCACGGGAAGGGTATAATAACCTTATGTGAAAAACAAGGTAAGTCTATTATCTCCATCCGACAGGTAAGAAAACAGGCTCACGGGAGGGTAGAGTGGTCAGGTGCAAATAAACAGTTTCTAATGGAACATGCAATATACATAATCTCTGCCTTCAAGAAGTTTACAGAGAAGCCGAACCAAGACGTCAAATACCTAAGTAGTGACAACATTCAAAAGTCAAGTAATCCCTCCAACAACCCACAAAGTGAGCATCAGAGATATCTCTATTCAAAAATTGAGGACCCTCAGGTGCAAAGAGGTGGCTTGAGGGAAATCATCTGAGTGCCAAGCAGCAGAGCCTGATGCCTTTTTGGATACCAGATCTTGTAAGAGTATTTTTCTCCTCCACATACTCCTGGGTGCGAACCGTACTCCTAGGCCAGCAGAGGAAGATGTCCCTCAAATTCCCAGCCTACTGGGACGAGTTGAGTCTGCATTGACTCTCCATGTAAGATCCCCAAGTCAACACCACTGGCCAGGTCCCTGGTACTGGTCAGCTAGGCCCCCCAGAAGACGGCCGCATGGTCCTGAAAGTGAACAATATCCCCAATATCAGGCTAGGGGTAAGGCCTAGATGACCACTGCTAAAAAGCAAAGACTTGAAAGTGGGAGTTGCACCCCCTAAAACTGGATTGCAAGCATTTCTTAAATACCCAATAAATTACTCAGTTCAACCAGTCATCCACACATGTTCACTGGGTAGGGCTGTGTGTTAGCATGTCTTGTGACAGCAACAGCCGTGCTTGGATGTTGGAAGAGTTGAGGTCTCATCCTAGCTCTGCTGATAACTACCTGTGCGGCCAGGCAGAGCCCTCTCTGGACCTCAGTCTCCTCCCTTGTAATTGCTCTTAGAGATCACCCCTAAGATCTGATTTGCACTGAGAATACCCAGTTAGATTTTCATCCGAAGAAGCATTCATTGCCAAAATCCAAGACAGATGAAATACAGGCTCCCGTGAATCCTTTGTTTTCTTCTTCCTTGGCACCAGATGAGGAAGAAGGGATTCATCTTTGGATTTTTCCATTTGGTGTGAGCCCATAGCTACACTACCACCACCTTACTGCCAGTTTTCAAACCTTAACTCCCCCTTCTTCCCTGACTTCCTGAAAGCAAAAGGTGCTTGGTGCTCAGTCTGAGCAGAAAGAAGCCCTAGGACAGTGCTTCCGGACCTTGCTGAACACCTGAGTCACCTGTGGGGTTTGTTAAAAATACACGTGCCAGGGCCCTATCCCTGGAGACTGATTTGGCAGAGGTGGAGTCCAGAAGGATAGAACTTGAGTAATTTTCCTCCCATCTTACAAGTGTTTGCTTAAAGGCCTCAGTAAGGTCTTCTCTGTCACCTTATTTTAAGTTTCAACAGTCCCAACCTAGGCACTCCCTAATCTACCTCCCTGCTTTATTTTCCACCATGGTGCTTATCTTTTATCATCATACCTAATTCTTCCGTTTATTGCCACTTCCACACCCCTCCTCCCCGCACCCCCAATGTAAACTCCCTTAAGGGCAAGGGTTTTGTTTGTTAGTTTGTTTTGTTCAGGGCTGCATCCACAGAGCCCAGAACAGTGTCTGGCATACAGTGAACGTCAAAGTATTTTTCAAATGATGGCTGAATTTCAGAGATGGCATTGCATAGGAAAATGCATAGACTCTGGCAATAGATTTCCTGGGTGCAAATCTCAGTGTTGACACCTACCAACTATATGTTCTAGGTAAGTTACTTTTAAGCTTTCTACACCTAGATTTCTTCATGTTATTCAAATGACAACAATGCCTACCCAAACTAGAGAGCCTGAGTTAAATATCGCCTCCACCACCCATGAGAGGGTGGCCTTAAAAAAAAAAAAAAAAAAATCGCTCTGTGCCTCAGTTTCCTCAATTGTAGACCGATCAACCACTGTTCTGGGGATTCAGTGAACATTCCAGCGGCCTAGGAGCCAGAGGCAGGAAGCAGACCTCACAGGAAGGGTCCAGGAAGGCTGGGTGAGGCGCGGCGTAGTGGCGGGGAGCAGCACGGATTCGCAGGAAAGTGACCGATTCAGGGGCAAGTCCTGTGTTGCCGGGAAGCAACGTGCCTTGCCCTCTCTGAGCTTCTCGTGGGAAGAGACGTAGAAGCTTAGGCGGAGAAGAGGAACGAGAGCGAGCCGAGAGAAAACTTCCCCTCACCCATCTGGGAAATGGGCTGGGGCCAACTGCTGACTTTGCGCTCGCTGGCGCAGCTCCCTGCGGAACCCTCGGCGGGGAGGGAGGCTGCGAACATCTGGAGGACATTTCTGCGAGAGCGGCTGCCGAGCAGGGCCCCGGGAAGAGAGAGGTGCACTTGTGCACACGTCGGGCCGAGAGGGAGCCCGGCCCCCCAGGCTCCGGTGTCGCTTCCCTCGCCCTCTCCCGCGGCCCCTCTCCTCCAGCCCCCAGCCCCACCCCCAGCCCTCCCCGGCGTCCCGGCCCCGGCCCGCCGCGCTCCTTCACTGGCGCCCTCGCCTCGCCAGGGGGCACCCTCGATCTGCCGGAAAACGCCACCATTTTCAATGGCCCTGGAGCATCTCCAAGCTTCAGCCGGCCGCCCGACTCCAGGCTTGTCAGTGAAGAATCGGGGCCAGGGTCGCCGCGGAGCCGTGCCCACCTCCGACCCCGCTCCCCGGCCGGGCGTCGCCCCCCCACCCCCGAGGGTGGGC